GGGCAGTGGTTCTCAACTCTCCTAGTGCTGCAACCCTTTAATACAGTTCCTCACGTTGTGGTGACCCCAACCATACTATTATTTCCATTGCTACTCCATAACTGTAATTTTGTTACTATACATAATAAGCACTTAATAAAAATGAAGGAACGAGCCAGGCAGTGGTGGCACATGCCTTTAATCCCAACACTCAGGAGGCAGAGACAGGTGGAGGGATCTCTGTGAGTTTGAGGCCAGCCTGGTCTACTAAGAGAGTTCCAGGACAGCCAGGACTACACAGAGAAACCTTGTCTGGAAAAACAAAAACAAAAACAAAACAAAGCAAGCAAACAAACAAAAAAGACAAAGGACCGAATGACTGAATAAAGAGGACACAAGAAGAGACAGTGCATTCTATTATCTTAATCACAGCCACTGATTCCCCAGACCTTCTCGGGGCCCGGTGCTGTATGAGGCTTATCAGACTTCCATCTAGTTCTGTAATTCTGGAGAGGTGATGCTGGCTTTCCCGTTTTTTCCAGAAGCCTAGAGAAAGTCAAGTACTTATCATGGTGACACTAAGCAAGAGGCAGATTTGAGACTGCAAGTCCAGCAACCAGTTAGTCTGTGGCAGCTTGGCTTTTATCCCCTGGCCCTGATACCCAAAGGTAGGGAGCAGTTTGTCTAAAGAGGGGCATTGGGGTGCTAGGGAGGCTTTTTACTGCCTCCATTGTCCTCTCCAGTCCTCGAAATTGCTAGAACTTTTGCCTGGTCCACCCTCACAGAGAGCATGCAAGGTTAACAACAAACAGCCAGACAGCAGAGGTGGCTGGGGTCTCTGAGTCATGGAATTCTTATGACCTCACGGGTCAGTCAGCTCCCAGGCCTTCAGGCTAAGCCTGAATCCACTCAACAGGCTGGCACTTTCACGTCAGCTGGCTAGAGGACATTCCAGGCTCACCAAGACTTGCAGGAAGAGCCTGCGGCTGAGCTGGAGGGCTCCGGGCTACCAGGAATTCTGCTGACTCACGTAGCAGGCTTTCGGTGACTCAGAGGCTACATAGGCTCAGTCCTCTGGAAGGGACAGGCGAGGGTCTCAGTCCAGTACTAGACATGCCCAGTGGACTACACACATCAGCGGTCGAGAATGCCTAGCTCAGAGACAGCAGGCACCTCTTCCCGGCCAACCCTTTACTCCTCTATGCACAGGGCACATGTACATGCAGATGGTGAGCCCTGGAGGGCTGCTATCCTTGACTAAGTTCATAAAATGGGTGAGAGACAGGCGAGGCAGGGCTTCCAAAACCAGAATCAAGTCTGGACGCTGTGTGTGCCAATTCTCTGGGCTGAGAGTCGCAGGTTCTAGTCCCACGCCTGAAACCCATTCACTGTGAGACCTTGTGTCTGGGTGGGGTGAGCTATGCATTCCTTGGGTCCATCTGCTTGTCAGACTGACTCCTAGCATGCAGCTGAGGGCCCTTGTGAAACAGTGAGACACAGGGCAGCTCTGACACGGTCTCTGTTTCTCATAAGGCCCTGCTGGGGTTGTGAGGGCTGGGGGACATAGTAGCCTGTACAGGACTGTGATATGATGTCATTTTGCACACCTACAGCCCACCCCGTTTCTGCATCTATGAAGGCCAGCTTCTAGAGGACAGGATGCCCTGTCACCTGCTGGACTTTTACACATTCTATCCTCTGCTGATTCTTCAAGGGCCTGTGCAATGCTACTCATCACTTCCAAGCCTTTCTGAAGCTTCCGTTTGCAATTCATCTCCCACAGATATTAAAATGATGGCAAGAATCTACAGCTGATGACATAAGAAATGTCTGAAATACACTGTAAAAAAATCAGAAGATAGAATAAAATGTATTGCTCTCCATATATACCGCTCTATAAGTAGAAACGCATAGGGAACAAAGTCTAGTGGGATATGTATATATACATGCATGTTAATTATGATAATCTCTGAGTCATGAAAATCAGGTTGATCTTCACTTTTCTGAGGTTTTGAAATTCGCATGCAACAGGAATATTGCTCCCATAAACAAATAATTGAGCTTCTTTTCATTGAAGAACTTTACCTGTCCTTCTCTGACACTGAGTTGGTCTGGTTGCCCCTAAATTGTTGCCTGTGTTTAATTAGGTTCCTCCTTCTTGCTTCATGGCTGTGACAAAACACCAGAGGACACTGACTTGAAGATCAACAGATTTGCCTTAACTCAGAGTTTCAAAGATCTCAGTCCATGGTCACTTGTCTCTATCGCTCTTGGGCCTCCGTGAGGCAGTCCATCATGCCAGAGCAGAGCCACCCACTTCCCGGTGGCCGGGAGGCAGAGAGGAAGATGGGTCAGAGAGCAAGCTGCGTCCTTCAGAGGCGAGTCCCTTGGTGACCCACTTCCTCCCACCAGGCCACATCACCTAATAGCCCATTCAACAAGAACTCATGGTGTTTTCCTGATCCAATCATGGCTCAGGCACACGCTCAGCTGGAGATCAGGGCTCATTAATGCTAGGCCTCATTCTCCTTGAAACGAAAGAGTTGTGCTCTGTAATGTCTAAGCTAACATTCTTCCTGATGGGAATTTTACAGTTTGGGGCTGGCCAGAGAGCTCGGTGGGTAAAGGTGCTTGCCGCCACCAAATCTGACAGCCTTAGTTTTATCCCCAGGACCTACAAGATGGAAAGAGAGAAACAACAACCTTCACATGTGCCCCGTGGCATTTTTGCACCTGTGAATGCATGCACAAATCATTTTTAAATGAGCAAACGAAAGTTTCAAAAGCTAAAAGAGAAGTTATATGTCTTTGATGCCTAGTAAGGCACTGCTAGTTCTTGCAAGTGTGTTAGCACCATTTAAGAATGAAAGGATCTAAATCTAAATAGCCACGCGTAGCCAGAACTGCCATGTTGGTGGTTACTGCTAAGCTCCCCATACTTTGATAGTCCCTGGAGTCATCTTATTTATAGAACTCAAGTTTCGGTCTCTTTAGGCATGTGATTCCTCGAGCCATCTGCCTTCAATGGGAACTGCTATCTCATCTCTAAATCCCACCCCTAGGCTATGTTCATAGGTTAGAGTGGACACTTGACTCAAATTTAGCCAATCAGGGTTACTCTCTGGGGATTTTTAAAATTTTATGTGTTAAAATTGATATAATCTAAAACTCAGCGTTCTAAGGCAGATAATCCAAGGGCATTTAGTGCATTTATACTGCAATCATAGTGAGCTAATTCCAGAACCTTTCTGCCATCTCAGTGGGAAACCCTGCCTAGTCCTGCTTCCTCCAGCCCTTGGCAATCACCGACCCACATTCTATTTCTATGGATTTACAGTCCCTGGATAGTTCACGCACTATGTGAACTTCTGTTGGTGGTTTCTTTCACTCAGTGTAGTGTTTTGGACGTTCATCTGTGTTGTAGGTACATTAAGACTCCATTCTTTTTTATAGCCAAGTAATATTCTACTGTATGTATTTACTAATTTGTATATTCATCCCCTGAAAGGACATTTGTGTTCCTTTCACCTTGGGGCTATTATAAATAGCACTGCTGTGAATATTCATATGAATGTATCTATTTAAGTCCCTGTTTTCAATTATTTTGGGTGTTTACCTAAGAAGGGTGTTGCAGGGTCCTATGCTTACCTTTGGGAGAAACTGTCAAACTGTTGGGCACAATGGCTGCCCTGTTTTACATACCAGCAGTGGGGCACTTGAACTTGGGCCTTCCTGGTACTCTTGATGCTTTACATGCAAGAGTGGAAGTTATTCCTAGAGTTGTAAAGGCAAAAGCTGAGCAAGTCCCAGGCACACCTGAAGCTTGCCTTTGTCCTGTGTCTTGGTTACACTGCTAGAGAATCCCACTGTTTGCCTGCTTGCCGGCAGGTTTTGTCACTCAGAGAGTCCTGACGGACTTCTTAGTGTCGTGAGGTCTTCATGATTCAGGTTATGCTTGAGGGGAGAACACAGCACAATGGAGTCTTCGTGAAGACTCCACAGCTTGACCTTCAATTCTTCTTACTCCTCCCAGGCCTGGAGACAGGACCCCTGGCAGAGCCTAGACGCAAACTTGAGCCCAGGCAGTTCATATGACTGGAAGGAAGGCGGAAGAGGCTTGTGGTTAAGGTGGGTAGGAGATGGGTTGTGTGGGAGATGGCTGGGGTTCCCCTGAGGACAAGGTGGAAAAAGGAAATCAGAGGGAGGCCAGAGGCCAGGCGGGGGTGTAGGGAGGTGTGGGGGTGGAAAAGAAAATCCGGCAGGGTTGCCAATGTTTAGATGGCCTTTCCCAAGGTAATTGAGACAGCTTGTCTGTGGCCAAACACAGAGGCATGTTCTTCAGGTTCTGAGGAGAAATAACTCCAGTTTCGTTTTCTGGGTGCAGGGAAGGAATGGAGAGTGATGGAGAGGGCAGTTGTGGAGGCAGAGACCAGGCCACTCTGCCCCTTGATTCTCCAGTCTTACATCTGACCTTCAGCCCCATCCTCTCCTCTGCCAGGAGAGAGCACAGGCAGTTGTCTTTCTTAATAGAACCCGGGAAGCACAGGGTCCCGGGAGAAAGGCCCTAGGAATGTGTGAAGGGCAGCCCAGGCTGCCTTTCCTAGGGGAAAGGCCTAGAGGGCAGAAGCAACCAGAGTCTGGAGGAGGAGGAAGAGGATGAGTAGGAGGAGGAAGAGAAGGATGAGGAGAAGGAAATGGAGCCACAGCTGTATGTTGGCTGTGCCTTTGATGGGAAGTGATTTCAGAATTATCATCTATACAGAGAATAGAAAGATTATCTACCCTACCCCTTGCATGCCTGGTGAATTGAAGTTCTCTCTAGTATTTTTAAACAGTGTGTGTGTGTGTGTGTGTGTGTGTGTGTGTGTGTGTGTGTGTGTGTGTGAAGAGGTAGAGGGTCACTTACCGGCCTTGGTTCTCTCTTTCTACCACGTGGGTCCAGGGGATTAAACTCAGGAGTCAGGCTTGGCAACGAGTACCTTTACCACCTTTACACACACACATAACACACCCCACTAGCCACCTTGCAGGTCATCTTTTTATTTTTGTGAGCCGGAAATCCGGGCTTCACGAAGGGCCATGCTATATGGTCTCTCTCATTACCCTAGTTTTCTAGAACCACGTTAATGAAGCGCCTCAAATCAGGCCCCTTAGCCAACAGAAGCGTGCTGCCCCACAGTTCTGCTGGCAGTCAGAGGTGAAGATGTCAGCAGGATTGAGCCCCCTCAGAGCTGAGTGGGCTGGTTCCTGCCCCTCTCCTGGCTGCTGGCAGTTTTCTGGCAGTCTTCCTGTGTTCCTTGGCTTGCAGAATCCTCACTCCATCATCATGTGGCAGTCTCCCTCTGCGTTTCAATTTCCTGTCTTTAGAAGGACACCAGTCATAGCAGACCAAGGATCCATCCTGAAGACCTTTTTAAAACATGGCTACCTCTGTAAAACCCTTGTTTCCTAATAAGGTCACGTTTTCAAGGATTTCAGATCCAACATATCTCTGTGTAGCCCTGGCTCTCCTGGAACTCACTCTGTAGACCAGGCTGGCCTTGAACTCACAGAGATCCACCTGCCTCTGCCTCCTGAGTGCTGGGGTTAAAGGATGTGCCACCACCACCTAGCATATTTTTAGAAAAAATTATTAATAATTTACTTCTATTTAATGTTCATTGATATTTTGCCTGCATGTATGTCTGTGTGAAGGAGGCAGAAGCCCTGGACCTGGAGTTACAGACAGGTGTGAGCTGCCATGTGGGTGCTGGGAATTGAACCCAGGTCCTCTAGAGGAGCAGTCAATATTCTTAACTGCTGAGCCATCTCTCCATACACCCCCACACATATCTTTTATAAAAAAATACAATTTAATCTATAGCATGATGTGTACTGTACAGCACTATCTTCCAAGTGGAATGGCAGCTATGTTTTGTTAAGATCAGCTTGTGTCGGGGGCTGGAGAGATGGCTCAGGGGTTAAGAGCACTGGTTGTTCTTCCAGAGGTCCTGAGTTCGATTCCCAGCAACCACATGGTGGCTCACAACCATTTGTAATGAGATCTGGCTCCCTCTTCTGGCCTGCAGCATACATGAAGACAGAAAACTGTATACATAATTTTAAAAATCTTAAAAAAAAGAGAAAAGATCAGCTTGTGTCTGCTTGCAAAGAATCACAGACCCTATCACAAACAAAACAAAAAAGTAATGACCACAGTTGGGGCTCGTTGACTTTTGGCAATGACATTCCCTCATAGAAGGAGGGGGTGGGGAGGGTCATTTGATCCTCCACTGAGTATCCAGTCACTCCTTCCAGCTAGTTACTTGTAAGCCTGCCCTAACTGTGCATGGTCTTGGAGGGTCTCAGGGAGGGTCTGGAGTACACAGACTAGGGAAGACTAGTGGAGGGGCTCTATCGGTGCAGCCGTTAGGAAGCCATCACCCATGCTGGGTGCATCTGCTTTAGGGTCACCCAGGCTCTTGTTTGTAACCCCTCACCCACACTCTATAATTCAGTCAGATAGACTCGTTGATTCTCTAGAGTGAGCTTTGGTAGAACCAAACTGATTTGTCATTGGGACATTTTGGAGAGGTTGTGAGCATCACAAAGTCCTCCTCCATGGAGAAAAACTCTTGAAACCCCATCAGAAAAGAGAAAAAAATCCAATTATGGTCCATTTGTAACTGTATACATTCTATTAGAAAGACTCTTTCTGATGGGAACTAGTTCCCACTGTGTCTAAGTGTCTCTGAGCACAGAGCCTTCAACTCCCAATTTTATAGGTATTATGGTGGAAGAATTTTCCACAGCCCAGTGTTTTGCTCCTCTGATTTCACTTCTCTTCTATTAATGTAATGGGGCAATACAGGGCAAAGGTTCCTCCATCTTGGATTCTGGCTGAGGCCTTCCCCAGGTTTAGCTAGAGTCTGACCTTCTTGATGGAGACTTCCGTGGGAAACTACCCAAGGCTGTTCTAGGAACCAAAAAGTCAGGATGTCCAGCTCATTCATCTTAGCTTCTGCTACAACTGTCCTCTTCTCACTCTGCTAAGGCCCCACTGCAGCTGCTGAGTGAGATGCCTTGAAGTCTCTGCCCTGAAAAACCCTGTGTTCTGGACACAGGGGGCCACACCTAGGTCCCTGGGCGTGGTCTCACCCAGCTGGAATAAAGACTTGTTACACACTGTCTGGACAGTCATCTCTGATGGGCTACCTGTAATGTTTGGGCCCAGTTTCTGGGATCTTGAGGTGACCACTCAGACACAGCAAACTGAAAGTCTTTCTTTTTTAATTATTTGTTTGTTTGTTTGTTTTTTTTTTTGAAACAGACTTTCTCTTTGTAACAGTCCTGGCTGTCCTGGAACTCACTCTGAGATCCAGGCTGACCTTGAACTCAGAGATCTACCTGCCTCTGCCTCCTGAGTGCTGAGACTAAAGGTGTGTACCGCCACCACCCAGCAAAAGGCTTTCTTCTAAGAGGCTGGGACCACACTCTGTGTTTGGGATACACGAGGCGGGTGGGCGGGGAGGGGGGGAGAAGGCAGCTGACCAGAACAAAGACTTTGAATCGGCTATACACTGTGTCTGAATGGTCATCTCTGGTGAGCTCACTGTAAAATCACTTCTATTAGACACTGAAGGATACACTGGCATCACCATCTAAGCTTAGAACCAGCACCTTTGTGTTGCTATACAATGTAAAAGTCATCTTACTGGCCATCAAGAGTCTTGAGAGGGCGGGAGAGCTGACTCAGTGGCTAAGAGCACTGGCTTCTCTTCCAGAGGACCTAGGTTCAATTCCTATCACCCACATGGTAACTCACAACTGTCTCTAAATCCGACACCTTTCCACAAACATACATGCAGGCAAAACACCAATGCACATGGAATAAAACTAAAGTTAAAAAACAAAAGGAAACAAAACAAAGCTATACTTAAAGAGTTCTGAGAGACAAGAATGAAGAATTAAGCATACATGGATGTATTAATCAAGGTTCTAAGGAACAGAACTGATTATTATTCAACCATGTCTCCTGATTGTTTGTTCAGTTCAGGAGACTGGATGTCTCAGCAGTCCCAGTCTGGTATTTGAGTCCCAGGGAGTTCCTAGAGAGCTGTAGTCTTTATAGCCTGCCTGGGCTACTTATCCAGACCCTCTCCCAAAATAAGAAATAAAAAGGAGACTGGGATGGAATTCAGCAGGAGAGCACTTGCCCCAGGCTCTGGGTTCAGTTCCCAGCACCACAAAAATGAGTAAACCAATCACTCAAAACACTTTCAAATGAAAACCCAGAATTGAGTCCCTTTGGGCAAATTTTGGGTCCTTTTTTTTTTAACTGCCATTACTGAATTAGTCATTGGGGTTAGGACCATAACCCTCTGATGATCCAAGTCTGTTCCTAGAGTTGACCCACCAGTGGATAACGGAGTAGTTTGTCAAGGAAACTCTCCATTTTGTCACCAGGAAAAAAGAAATGACTGTGACAGACAACAGGTCTAGCATACTTACTGTGGGACAAAAGACAGGAGAGCTGGGCAAACCTTCTGAGCCTAGGGCTCCCTGTGCATAACTGATGCTTGCAGCACTAATAAAATTCAGCCCACCCTTGCTTCCTTCTAGGAGCAACTGTGAGGTCCTAGGGAGATCAAGAGTCACAGTACCAGCTCACGTGGAGGCATAGGCAGGCAGGGCTGCATGAAGTAAAGCCTGTTTATTTTTATTTTCATTTGCATAGCCATCCATCCTGCTGATAAAAGGCAGTCTGGGAGAGGTTACAAGGCTTGAACACTGTCACAGGGCCAGGAAGGGTGGAGCTGGCGTTGAAAGCAGTGCCCTCAAGCATGAAGCTATATATAAACTGTAAATAATTTTACAGGCATAAGGGATTATTAGTAACGGCCTGTGCTGTTAATAATAGTAATTTTTTAAAACCCTGAAAGGGAAATTCAAATAAATTCAAACAAATGTTTGTTTAGCACCTACTACGGGCTCACCAGGGGCTCGGAAGGAGACACATAACTAACTGTGAAACAGGCTTGCTCTGATCTGTAGAACCATAAACAGGCCCCAGGGGGTGTGGAAAGGGAAGGCCAGGAGGGCTTAGAAGGCTCTCCTGGAAGACGAGGCTTTCAATTGAACTTTAAAGTTTAGTGTGTGTGTGTGTGTGTGTGTGTGTGTGTGTGTGTGTGTGTGTGTGTGTAGGGGGTCACCAGTACTGATGTAAAGAGTTCTTGGATCAGGGTTCAGTATTTCTATGCAAAACAACTTTCACACCAGCAGGAGCTTCAAAAGTGATTGACTAAGTTCACAGCAGCAGTTACCATGGGAACAGAGGCATGCTTCATCCTGTCATTAGTGAGCATCCCTGGCTTCTAGCTGTCTAGCCAAGGCCAGGAAGGGGGAGGGGGGCTGGGCTACAGTGCCCCTTAGAAGAAAAACTGGACAGGACTGCCACCTGGGCCTGGGAAGATAGCAAAAGGAGGCCTGTGTCTCCTTAGTGACATACTGAAGGAACCCTAGCAGGTCATGGGAACTCAGGAAGGCACTGGAAGGACAGGATCACCAGCGGGTAACAGCTCACCAAGGATGTCAGTGTTCAGGGTAGCTTCCCTGGGCCTGAATCAGTCACTCCCACGCCCACTCAGTCCTCCTAGGACCTCCAGTGTCCTAGAAGGGGTGTTGGTTTGTTATCTTTACAGGGGACACTGTAAGTACAACCTTGATTGACAGGCCTGGCAATGGGAGGGCACTGTGAGAAGTTTAATAAAGCAGGCACTGGGATTGAGTCAGGCCTAGGTTCAAATCCTAGCATTGACACCATCTAGCTATTTCAGTTTGGGCAAATTGCCTGCCTTTTCTGAGTTTCTTGGTTTGCTCTTCTGTGGGATAGTTCGTAGGACTGTGTGAGAATTAAGTGAGACAGTTGATTTATAAAGAGTCACGCAGGCTGGGCGTTGGTGGCGCACGCCTTTAATCCCAGCACTCGGGAGGCAGAGGCAGGTGGATCTCTGTGAGTTCGAGGCCATCCTGGTCTACAAAGCGAGTTCCAGGACAGCCTCCAAAATAATACAGAGAAACCCTGTCTCAAAAAACCAAAAAAAAAAAAAAAAAAAAAAAAAGAGTCACGCAGATATTTATTGCCTGGTACACAGAATTGCTTTGTGAGTGTGTGTATGCATGTCCGTGTGAGGGTTAAAATCTGTGTTGGTATGCTTGCAAATGCACGTGTATATTTGTACATGTGTGTACCCATGAATGTGTGTGCCCATGCATGTGTGTACCCATACACGTGTGTACCCATGCATGTGGAGGTCAGAAGACAGCCTGAGGTCGTGCTCTCAGGTACCATCCTTTATGTATGTATGTTTGTATGTACTCTT